ATTTATAATTTACATAGTATTACATTTGCATAATACCTGTAATTAATATGTAATATAATGGCATAATACTTTTTCAACATTATGCTTGCATACCTTATTAAATTTTCTGATAAAACTACTTGAAAAGTACTATGTTAAAGTTGCATTGAAAAGTATTCCTCCAGAATATTATAAAAAATCTATCAATAGCATATCTCTGTGAATTGGGGAGTTATTTTTGCAAATGGAAATAGAATTTATTATTAAAATTTTATCTGAATTAGTAAACAAAGACATAATGAATTTGTTTAACTTAAATTTTTATTATTGCTATATTATATATATATAAATTTTTTCAACTTGAAAAGTGGCCGGATAATTCTGATCGCCCTCTGTATGTATCTCTTTATAGCATGTGCTATCTGTAATAAAAAAAAATTTAATAACAGATAATTCGCATTAATTACAGTTTCTCACCTGTGCATGATGGGAGTCTACACTTGTTTTAGCTTCTCCTGGCTCCAGAAAATACCACCCACGAACCTCAATATTATACCATTGATGCCAGTTTGTAATTAATGTCATTAATTCAGAGTTGTGATAATGCCCGCCATTATCAGATAAAATTTTAACCCATTGTGGTTTTGGATCTAGAGTTTCAAAAACTGCATTAAAAGAGAATGCAGTGAACCAAGCATCCTGCTTAGTATCTGTAGACCAATGGTCAAAGGCGTGAACATTCAGGTTTGTATCATCCTTTTTTGTAAAAACCAAAATCGTATGAAGTGTCCATCCTCTTTTCCCAAAAAATTCTTCTTTTGTTTCACGTGCACTTTTTGGTAAAATTCTCATTTTGTAGTCGCATACTAAGATTGCTCCATATTCATCTAATTCTAGAAGCTGCGCTTTAAATTGACTATTTAGATATACTTTTCTCACCTGATGAGCCAAAAAGTAATGCATTTTATCTTTAGATTCTAGATTCTTGGATTGTTTCATGAAAATTTTCAGGAAGAATTGTGATAAGTTCTTGCATTAATATAAATAAATGATCACAATTTGCACATCTGGATTTATGTTGATTGTTACATTCTCCAACATACCATTTTCATTTACAGAAAGTTCATTTTCAAAGCCTCTTCTTAAATGTAGACGTAATTTTTCAACATCATGGATTAATCTATTCTAAAATAAGGATAAGAAATTAGATTTATATTGACTATTATATGTAAGTAATTATATATTTACCTTTGTTTCCTTTTCGTTTATATTCAATCGAATTATATTAATCAATGTATCAAAAACTTCATATCCATATTCATTACATATATTGCAGAGGCCACCTAAATCTTTACGATAAACATATCTTCCATTGGCTAATCTTGCCATAAATGATGCTCGTTTAATACCATCTGGATATGTAAGCTTCAAATTTATCCAAAGTGCTTTTTTATTATCCTTGAGATAAAGAAGTGGGAGATTAGTTTTTGAATCCACTATATATGAACTCATAGTTATGTTGTCTTTATCAGCAAAAAATGCTTCAAATTCTTGATCTTGTATTTCTGATACTCAACTTTTAGTAATAATAGGTTTGGTCATTACAACACATCCTGGTCCATTTGTATGTGCACTTATGAGATCATTTGAAATCTATTAAACATAACGATAAATCATTATTTTTTTGCGTTCTTATATATAGTTTCCAATACTTTCTAATATGTAAAATTTTATTATCAAATTTGAAATTACATGTATTCTATTATATATTCTAACATTTCTAAAATTTCATTATAATACAATAAAAATATATTTATAAATATAAAAAAGTTCACCTTCAATTTCTCTCAAATTTCTCGATGTCCAAAATTGTCTGCAATAACTGATAAAATTCTTGTTTTTCCATCAAATCCACACTTATTCATATGTATAGACTCGTCAAAACTTTTCCAGAATTTGTCAATAGTGTTATGCATTTTCAAATTATTATTTTTAATATCTGGTTCAGGTGGATTGTAATTTAGTAGATTTTTTATATACACTACCCTTCCAAAAGTATCCGGTCAACCAATAAAGATCATATTTTATTAATAATAATTAATATTTAGTTGGCCATCCATTGTTTTTAATGCATGCTTCAATTTAGCGTAGCATGCTCTCAATTAAATTAATTTAAGTTTCCGATGGAATTCTTTCTCACTCTTCTTTTAGCTGTTAATCCAGTTGTGTCCTAAAATTTCCAAAAAGTACCATTACAGACACGATTGTTCGATACAAAAATTTTAATCCTGATAGCTTCATGTCCTTTCCAAAGGCCAATAATTTGCCCACACTCACTCAATTCACTAGTTTTTCCCATTTTAAAAGTAGTCGAATGGCGTAGTAACAAAAAAAAAGCAAAGTTTGGCATTAGCAAAAATTGAGGCGTTATTATTTTTTATTGCCAAATCTGGTACAAGTATCATAACACAATAAAAATACATTCATTTTAATTGCTAAAACCAGGGGAATTATTTTTTTTAAAAAAAATAATACTTTATATATTCAATCTTGAGAATTTGTCCAGAATTCAAACTATTATCAAAAATTTGAAAGGTGAATAAGTTATTTAAAAAAAAGTTTCCCATTTTTAAATAATACGTAATTTATCACATAAATACTAACAAATGATTGTTTTTTAGTAAAAGGTGTAATATTTGTGCATCCTACTTTACGCATGATACTTCTCCAAGCTTGTAATTCCCAATCAATAAATTCATAATTCTTTGAATATACCCATGTTAGGTGAGAGGAAAGTTCAATGATATTTGATTGTTGGTTTTTCCACTCAATAAAAAAAAGGTTCCAATTTAATCAAGCAACCGATATTTTTCTTTTTAGACATTGTTCAAAAGCCTGAGTCATAATTTGAACGTTACTCCAATCAGTTACACAACGTAGTGGCTTATCAATATAGTTTTAAATTGCCATTATTACATGCCGATTATTAATACCAAATAATTCTTTTCCATCGATATTATTAAGAATTTTGAGTTTTGACCAAACATCCTTTGGTGATACGCCACTACAAGTCTGAATTTTTTCTGCTTGTTGATATATATTTATCTTTAAGAATTGATTGAACTATAAGAGATTGTTTTCCACAAAATTTGTGCGAAAATGATGATTGATAACCAGTACCCGCAAAGTTCAACTCCTCTAATGTAGAACTGCCTAATGCAAAAATAAAAACTGTCTATTGTAACTCTAAGGTTTAGTAATAAATTACGAAATATAGTTTTCCTGCTTCCTTTTATAAATAGCATAGTACAGTAATTGGTCTTTTGCTTGGTGATGGTTGGATTCAAAACCTATGGCCGGTGTACTTTTAGGGTAAGAGAGTTCCTATCTTCCCTAGCTATCCTCCATAGTTACTTAATCTATTTTTGTAACATAATTGAAAAAGGAGTTGATTTAATATACTTACCCTTAGCAACCTTATTAAATGAACTATGGCAAGTTAGCTCAGAATACGGCTAGAGGGATTTGAACCATCACGGTATTACCCACGTGATCCTAAGTCACACTTGTCTGCCAATTCCAACATAGCCGTGTTTTCAGTGTGGCAAATAATTCTTTGAACATAGAACGATTTATAATGACAGAAGTTTGGTTTTAATATTATGAACGCTAATTTTAAAGGGAAAAAATAGAACACCAACTTGAAGTTTTTCAGCTATTTTTTCATCATCAAACCCCATAACTAACGGTCCTGAATATCGTGTTTGAACATTGAAAAGTTTTTTATAAGTTTTGTTAATTGCTGCAGTAGGAGTTGAATAAACCATTGCAGCTTGATCAGTTTCACATATGTAACCAGGTAGATAAATATTATTACTTTGTTTAATAATACAAATAATGAACTCTGTTTTATTAAGTTCAAATTTAATTCTCATATTAACGCGTATAGGAATACACGAGTATTTTTCTGGCATTTTTTTAATAAAAATCCACCAGTTTATTGCAAAAACACTATAGTGTAATGTTTCAATGATATCACCAGTGGACAAAAGTTGTCTTTTGTATTTGTCTGTAAACATTATAGAAGGTTCAAATGAGTTAGAAATAGAGATTTGAAAAAAAAGTAGTTTTACTATGATTAACTAACCCTGTAATTTACTATTAAATGTGGAACACGTGCACCAGTTTATTCATGGATTGGCAATTAAATGAGTTTTGCACATGTTAAAGAGATCTGCTTCACTTTGGAACTCAACAATGATTTTATTTGGATTTTGTTTGAAAGCACTTTTAATAGCCTTTGCAGACGATAAATAAAATTCTTGATATTAATGGACAAATATTCTTTAGCAACTGTCTTGCATATTCATCCTTTACTGTGAAGTAAACAGTCATAGTGTTTTTAAACTTATATTTAAAACTATTGTCCATTATAAAGAAAGGACTTTCATGTAGCAAACATCAAATGCTACTTTCAATAACAGCTTTATCAATACTATTGGAAACTTCTAAAATCTTAAACTTTTCTGCTTGATATTTTTTGTCTGTGTAATATATAATACTTTTTTTTTGAAACTGTTCTTAAATAATAATTAAAAACCTGCACCATTTTTCTCATCCCGCCTAATACATAATTCTTGATGATAATATGTTTATTGACCATGTTATATTCAATACCAGTAAAATTAGAAAGTTGTGAATGTTAAGTTTCATAAAAGATAATTTGTCTTTAGAATCTATATCATTGATTAAAATGAATGCATCATAAATTATGACCTTTTTTTCTGTCTATAAGTTATTGCATGATAGAAAAAAACTCTTTCTCCTTTCATTTTTACGAAAAATTCTGCAAAAATTTTTTATAAACTTTTTCACTTTATTTAAAATTTTTTTACATAAAATAAAATGTAAAGTTTATCTTGTATAATGAAGACATGTTTTTACATGGAGTAATTGCTTAGCTCAGTTCGTTTGTAGAAAATGGTTTCCTAAAAACTTTATTTGATAAGAGTCCACAGGCTATGGACAAAGCTCAGCTTCTAGTAGAGACATTTGGCGAGTGGCCAGGCAAAGGTGATGAATATACAACCTACCACACTTTCACTAATATTTTCTATAGCACTTTACGTTTCGTCCAGATCGTGAAATAATTTTGCTACCCGCGCCTATACTCTATATGGTGATATGAGTGATAACACAGAATCGGAATGTCCCTCCGTCGATTACAAATTGTTTGCATCTACTAGCTCATCAAATACAAAAATTACACCAAATCCAGTACTTAAAACGCCTCCAATACTGCCAGATGTGCGCGTGTTACAGATGATAAACAAGTCAAGAACCAATCAATAACGGCAAATCCTGGTGTACAAACATCAGCCAAAAAACCCCGTAAGGGAAAGAATTTATCCATACCCAAGGCTACTCAAATACTGACAGGATACAAAGAAGCCGATGACCAGCGAGAGCAAGTCAGAGACATTATTGTATACGATATTCTGTATACCTGGGATGTTGAGAAAATATTAGGAGAATTAACATTATGGGGTCATACTATCAAGTTGTCAGTAAAATGGCAGTATAAATATCAGACTCTTAGAGTCAAAATAGTTTTGAACTCATTTACCCTTTCTCAATTTAATAAGTTTTGGACTACTGACCTGGGAGGTATACCGGTGAGATGGTTTCCCGCAAGTTGGACTTTACAAGAATGAAAACAACACGAAAAGTTCCAAGCTGTCATTTATAATATTTTGGAAGAAATGACAATGGCTACCTTGTGGAATAACCGTAAACCACAATTATTTTTACAGACGTGTGGTATTAGCACCTTTAAAATTATACAAACAAGTCGCTATTTTGAGAATTGGGAGACTACACTCAAGGCCTTAGATACTCCTCAAGTTTTCCTTAATGATAAGGAGTTGAAATGGTGTCAACACTCGATCCCTACCTTGAAGAAGAAGCACAAGCCGAAGGCTAAAAATACTCTGAACAAGAAGTCTAGTGGTACTGGACAAAGTTCAAATAGTAATCAGCCTAAAAAGAAGGATAAGAAGTTCTCAACCAAAGCCACTAAGAATGATAACCAGTTGATGAACCCAAATTCTCAGAAGAAGGCAAAGAATTTCTCAAAGAGTAAGGGCATAATAATGGTAACAATGAGATTAAATTAGTTTAGCTTCCATTAATGGTCACATTTATTAATTAGAATATAGTGCAATTTTAGCTGCAGAATTTTTTTTTCTCTATTTTATTTCGCTCTATACACCCTCAGCTATAGAGAAGGCTTACCCTGGTTGATTCCTTTTATTTTACCCAGTGCGTTTGGGTTAGTCTAGGCGGCGTTGTTTCACCTAGGTAGAGGTATGCTCTGGTGGAATCCGTTCAATCTGTCATCCATTTTTTGACCGAATCAGATGATCCAGATTAAGAATGAATAGATTTCAGTAAATCTGGATGGATCCGTTGGATAAAAAAAGATAAAAAAAACTCTTTCCCAAATACATTTTTTTACAAAAATTTCTGCATAATAATTTTTTTTAAAAATAATCCCCTTTATTAAATTTTATTACATAAATATAAAAATGTCTATGGATAAGAGCCGAACAACAAACGAAGAAGCTTTAGACTTCGTTTCCAAGTTTAACGAAATTTATTTTCAAACTGTTACATATCACTTAAGTTCTTTTATACAGGACAGTTTCCTAAAAGACTTATTTGAAAAAAACCCTTCAGTACCTAAGGATAAAGCCCAGTTACTGATACAGAAGTTTGGCGAGTCAGCCAACCCTGCGAACTTCACTGCACAAGCTCAAGCTACAAATATACAACCCACCACCCTTTCGCTAATATTTTCTATAGCGCTATATTCTGCGTCCAGGTCTTGGGATAATTTTCTACCCAATACTATTACAAATTTGGCAATACGGGTGACGATGATGATGACGAAGATGATAATTCTCAGGATATTAATGATTACCTAATGGATGCGTCACCTTTTCTTGAGCAAGATGTAGATGATCTAATACGCCAAGGATTCCAAAAACTACCAAATCCAGTACCTATCAAGCTTCCATCAACGCCTGATATAGTAATGACCCCTGTTGATCACACTGTAATACCCGAAAACTCCTGGAAGAAAGATAAACAAAAGGCGCGTGTTACAGATGATAAACAAGTCGCGAACCAATCAACAAAGGCAAAACCTGATGTGAAAACATCAGCCCAAAATTCCCATAAGGGAAAGAAATCATTTGAACCGGAAGCGACACAGATACTGACAGGATACGAAGCTGTCGAAGAGGAGCTTGAGCGAATCTGAGACATAATAGTTTATGATATCCCGTATACCTGGGACCTGCAGAAAATTATAGCAGAGTTAAAATTTTGGGGTAATACTATCAAGTGTTCCGTTAAACGTCAACACAAGTATCAGACTCTTCGAGTCAAGATAGCATTATCCTCATTTGCCCTTCCCCAATTTAACAAATATTGGACGACAGACCTGGGAGGTATACCCGTTAGATAGTTCCCTGCGAGTTGGACTTTACGAGAAAAAAAACAACGTGAAAAGTTCCAAGCTGTCATTCATGACATTCTGGAGGATATGACGATGGCTACCTTGTGGATGGACCGTAAACCATGTGAATTTTTAATGAAGTGTAGTGCTAGCTCATTTAAAATCATACAAATAAGCAAAGGGAGGAAACTTGTAGCCTATTTCGAGAATTGGGAGACCACACTAAGGGCCTTAGATACGCCACAGTTTTTCGTACCTGATGGTAAGGAGTTGAAATGGTGTCAACACTCCATCCCTACCTTGAAGAAAGCACAAAATAAACCGAAGGCTAAAAATACACCGAATACGAAGAAATCAGGTAAGTCTGACAAAAATTCGGTAAGTAATCAGCCTAAGAAGAAGGATAAACCTACATCCTCGAAGAAAATCCCTAAAAATAATAACCAGGAGGAGAAACACCCGAAGAATCAGAAAAAGGCAAAGAATACCTCGAAGATTAAGGGTGGTAATAAAGATAACAAGAAGGTTTTAGCAGAGATTTTAACTTTATTACAGAAACTAGTTTAGCCTATGCTTTAATTAACGGTTTTACAAATTTCAGAATCGTATTATTTTTTAGGATAGAATAGGTTTATGTGAATGCACCACAATTTCTTGGAAAGGGGACTTGTCCTCTCCACTTTTTTCCCCCTATTTTTACCCAGTGTGTTCTCCTGGATTACTATCGGTAGTGGTAGTAGTGCAGGTCTTTTATTTCTCAAGAAGTTTGGGTTGGGCTCCAGCTCCTCTGGTGTTCGATGGTAGGATTTAGTTGGGTTGTATTACTTTGGAATCATGCTCAGTTTTGTATCCCCTGCCGGCTTCACATAAAATAAATAAATAAATAAATAAATAAATAGATCCGTTGGATAATACCAGATTGATCAGATGTTACACAGATGATTGAATTGACCGGATTGATCAAATAATCTGGTTAAATCTGGTATTTTTTTTTTGCTTTTTTTTTTAAAAAAAAAAATATATATAAATATAAAAATATAGAGCAGTCTTCCCTTCAGAATTCGGCTTAAATGGCTTAGGACATTCCCTTACTTCATTTTTCTAGGAAACACCTTCCTGGAACTGGATTTCAGCTTGAAGGTAAGTTAGAGGAGGTCTTTTTATTTGTTTTTTATTTATTTATTTTTCTAACATTTCTCTTTATTCTTTTTTGAAGATTTTGGCTTTTCGGGTTCTTTTGGATATTAGGTAAGTGTGTGGAAGCACGTGGTCTTAGAATTTTCTTTGAAGAAATGTACTAACGTTTCTTTTTTTATTCTTTTTTGTAGATTTTGGCTTCCTGGATTCTTTTGGATATGTGGGAGCGTGTTCTTTTGGAATTTTCTTTGAAGAAACGTACTAACATTTCTTTTTTTATTCTTTTTTGTAGATTTTGGCTTCCTGGGTTCTTTTGGATATGTGGGAGTGCGTTTTTTTGGAATTTACTTTGAAGAAACGTACTAACATTTTTTTTTATTCTTTTTTGTAGATTTCGGCTTCCTGGGTTTTTTTGGATATTGGGTAAGTGTGTGGGAACGCGTTCTTTTGGAATTTACTTTGAAGAAATGTATTAACGTTTCTTTTTTTATTCTTTTTTATAGATTTTGGCTTCCTGAGTTTTTTGGGATATTGAGTAAGTGTGTGGGGTTAGTTCTTTTGGAATTTACTTTGAAAAAACGTACTAACATTTCTTTTTTATTGGGATATGGTAAGTGTGTGGAGTAAAGATGGTCATCGGTCCTACTGGTCCTACTAGGTCCTGGACCGGTCGGTTCCAGGACTTGTAGAACTGGACCGCAGTCTTTCATTTTTTCTTGGCGCAGTAGGACCAGTCCTGAGACTGACCTGGTCTTTGCATCGGTCTTTATATATAAGTTATTACATGCATATTGAAACTTCGCCTTATTTCTAGAAAAGACTGTCTCCAAGGAAAAAAAAAAAATTAACGTTAATAAAGTATAATAAATCCGTCTTTATACTTGTTATTTGCTTATAATATACGTCTGAACTGGAATGGTTCCTGGAAAACTAAAAAGACCATCGGTCTTATTGTACGTGTTACAGGACTGAAAGACCGCAAGATAGACCAGTCCGTCTTTTTAAGGTGTAGGACTGCGAGATTGTGGTCTTTTAGGACCGATGACCATCTTTAGTGTGAAGTAGGTTTACTTTAAAGTTTAAGCAATGTAATAATTTTATTTGGTTCAAATTAATAAATAAATTTTACATTACTATATAATAAACTATAAAAACTATAAACAATAAATATGAATTATGTTTTTAAGAAAAAAAAATTGAATGGATTGAACAGATTGAACAGATATCTGTTGAACTATCTGGTCAATCTGGTCAAACCGGTGATACAAGGATTGAACAGATATCCATTGATCCATTCAGTCAATTTGGTGATACAACTGGATCAATCTGAATCTGGTCAATTTTCGGATGGATGACCAGATATCTGGATTGATAGATTTTGGAGCATACCTCTACACCTAGAAGGGTGAGGTCTGGTGACAAGAGATTTAAGCTTCTAGCGCTGGATGCACTTTAGCAACTCATTTACACATATTTTAGTTTTTCGTATTCACATATTGATTTTCTTTAATTTGTATTGGTTATTACTGACTACTCTTGTAGAAATAAAATAAAATAAAATAAAATAAATAAATTTTTTACTAGTTTTTGAAAAATTCAAAATATCAAATTTTCAAATTAAAAAATCATAGGGTCTTACAATTTTGCAATCAACTATAAAGCAAAATATTTATACTGTACAAAACTTTATTTACTCATGTTGTGGTATCTGGAATTGTTTTTTCTTGTACTAGGTATAATAATGTATAGCTGATTGTAAAATTGTAAGACCACCCTATAATTTTTTAATTTGAAAATTTGATATTTTGAATTTTTCAAAAATCAGTAAAAAATCAAGTTAAAAACCTGTTTATTCAACTCCTTAAATAAAAATAGAAATATATCATATGATTCAATATAAATAAATTACTTTAAAATCTATATTAATTTTAAGGAGTTAAAGTTATTACCAAAATAGGTATTTAAACTTGCTTTTTTACTAATTCTTGAAAAATTCAAAATATTAAAATTTTCAAATTGAAAATCATAAGGTGGTCTTACAATTTTGCAATCAGCTGTAATAATGCAATTTTACTGATTAGTGAATGTTTGGCTCAAATTAATTCTTTTTCCTTCTGGCAACATATCATATTTCCAAATGGATAAATCTAATTGTAACAGCTTGTTACGCATCTTATTTGTAACAACCTTCAATTTTATCCAATTAAAATTTAAGATCAGGCGTAATGTAAACAAAAAAAAAAGATCAGTCGTGTAAATAAGACAAAAGAATTTTTTAAAAAATTTCAAGAAACTGCTTATAACTTAAAATTTTGTCTATGAAACTGTCTTAAATACATTAAGTAAAAGTTTTTCAAATTAAATTTTGCATATAAAAATTTTATTTGTAAAACACATTAAATTTATTATTAAAAAAAAATAAAAAAAGGATGTTACAAATAAGATATGTACAGGCTGTTACAAATACATTTTTTCTTTCCAAATAACCTTTTTCTATATAAAATCAACAATATCAGTTAATAAATGTATATAAAATTTAATTACCAAAACTTAACCAAGAAGAATTTAAAGAAAATTGTGATATCTTTATTTACCCTTAAGGATTCTCTTAGATCTTTTAGTATATCACACTTTATCAAATTAAAGGAAGTATTTGAGCTATTTGAGCTATATAGGAGCTATTTGAACTACTTGAATCTTCTGAACTTAATTGGACTGGAGCTTTCCCTTGACTTTATCACTGATGGCTTTTCTGGAATTTTGTCACCATTAGTTATCTTTTTATTATTAACACTAGTTACAGCACTTTCTTCATCTTTTTCACTAATACTGCTAGTTGTAGTGGTGTCACATTTTTCCATTTAATTGTTATATCCTCATCTGACAATATAACTAGCCTGTGAAAAACCCCCCATGAAGAAACAGCCTGTGAAGAACCTGGCACCATTCTTGCTGTTCTTGTATAATATTTAATATTTTTCAAAAAAATATTTGCTTGTTGGGTAATTTAGATAATCATTAGTTTTAAGTATATCTAATGGTGAAATAGGAATTAACTCTGTTGTTGATATGAATATAATTCAATCAAACCAAATGCTTTGTCAAAAGAAAGGCTTTATGCTTTACAAAGTAGAGTATTTAGCTTTAGAGAAACAGGTAACCTGCCTTTGATATTCAAGCTTCAGAATTAAAATAGCATTATGCAAGTAAATTACTTATTTGGCAGTGAGTTTGGTGGGTCTAAGGGGAGGGCCCTAAATGACGTCATTTAATTTTTGGAATTTTTGTCCCCCCCTCCCTTCATCATCTTACTATTTAAGGAAAGTGTGTAACTTTATATACAAGTGACCATATTTTAATATCTAACACGTCAAATAAATATTTCAAATACATTTTTAATAAATTTTACAATCAATACATTATACCGCAAATTATAAATTTTATTATGCTAAATACTTGTAATTAAAAAATATTTTACTATTGAAAATTAAATTTGAAATGTAAGATGATCTTGTTCCCATGGTTGTGATTTTTTTATGCCACTTCTTTTGTATTTACCATCATGTATATCATTTTTTGCATTGCCATTAGCTTCAACATTAGCATATTTATGCTGAGTATGTGACATTTCACCTGCATGAACCTCCGGGATTGTGTTATTTTCTTTTTCCTGCACCATTCGCACAATCTTTTCTCTTCCATTTGATGCATAACCTTAGTATGCATTTTTAAAAACGCCTTTGTTGGAAAATACTTACCACATTTTTTGCATACAAGATCATCATAAATTTCAGAAGAAATGCTTGGGCAATGCATATCATAGCCAGGAAGTCGATCATTAACATATTCCAGTGTATGCAGCAAACTTAGAAAGTGTTTATCTTTACCTTGCACAACAGGAGGAAGAAAACCACTATTCAGCGATAAAAAGTCAAAAATATCTGGATACGGAATATTTATGGGAAAATCTACAATACAAAAATATTTGCAACCTCGTCATTCAGGAACAAAAGAGGCGAAACTGAATCATTATCCTGCACAAATACGGCTGGCAGCTGTTGGAAGAAATGAAATGAATGAACATATTGATGAACATTATTGTTTAGCATCGGTCAAAGGTGTAAAATCATTTGCTTCAGTTAAGGATAGTGCTGTAATTGGGCAATTGCAGATTAATTGCAGATCCGCAAACCGCAATTATCTGCAAATCTGTAAAAAATCCGCAAATTAGCCAATTAAATACTGTATCACGATCATTACTCAATCTATATATTTATATCGAATCATCAAATTTAGTATTATTACTCACTCTATTATAATATAATCAATTTATAATGCATCAAAACATCAAAACAATTGTATCTAAATTCTTCTTTTTCTATTTACTTTTTTCAACAATTTATTATTAAAATGTCAAAAACACCTTCTTCGGCTCTTAATTTAAAGATTCGTGAAAAAAAAGTTGAGCTATTGCCTGAAGACAAAGAATTAATTTCGTTAGCACTGTTAATTATTTGGACTAAGTCTAATAAAAAAATTGAATCATGTAATTTTGACCAAGATAAAGTAAGATTATCTTTCAAAAAGAATGAGGGATGCGTTTATTTTGACTTGCAAGAATCGGCTTTAGATTTTACATTCATCAATAAGGTATTCCATAAGGCCCTTTTTAAATGATTTTGATTTCGCTTATAATTTTTTTTTTCAGTCCACCTTTTTCCCTTGAATTTTCATTTCTGGACAATTTTGTCCACTTTTTTCTGTTCTACCTTTTTCTCGTTTCTGGACAATTTTGTCCATTTTTTTTTGTTCCACTTTTTTCCCTTGAATTTCCGTTTCTGGACAATTTTGTCCACTTTTCGTTTCTGGACCACTTTTTTCTCTTGGTATCAGAACCATTTCATTTTAGAACAAATGATTTCATTTCTGAACAAAATTCATTACTTTTTAGGGTAATTTGGCTGAACTTGAACGCTACAAATCGCTATATGAATTATATAAAGGTAGATACGAAGTAATTCGTTTACAGGTAAATATGTGAATGAATTTTAATATTTATATCTTAATTTTGTTTATATTTTATTTGTTTATTTATATATTTTCTAATAATAGCCAGAAAATACACGTTCAACTACATCTGGTACAACTGGTAGCGTGAATGAATCATTAAGAGAATTGTTACAATATTCAACACCCGAACACACGTGCCTAGAATCCTCTCCCAGCTCGTCATTATATCTTAAACCCAACGATTCAGAACTTGCCCGTGTGTTAAACAGTGATTTATCCATAAATAATCTTTCTACTTCTGACACTGAAACAAAAATTTGGTCGAATTTGAATATACGCTGTATCGAAAAATTTGGCGGACAAGATCACATAAAAAATGATGTTTCTATTTCTGACATAATGTGGGCCAGTACAACCTTACCTGCGTACCGCAGCTGGAACACAATGAAGAATTATTATGATGACATTGATGAATGGATCGCAAAAATTAGTAGCTTCTGTAAGTTAAATTTATCAAATTCTGAAATTGTTCTTGATTATTATATTTTTCTTATAATATTTATATCTAAATTTTCTAGGTACTGCTAATGATGATGAGGATAACAATTTTCAACCTACTGAAGCTGCAAATTCAAGTTCTACTAGGGATGAATCTGGCAACAGTGAAATTAATGAATTTAACCCACCTTCACAATACAAAGTAGTTCCAGCATCAGCACGAGCATCAACCACGGAAGTTGAAACATCGATGAAACCACCAACAAGATCAATAACATCTAAAGTAAAATTAGCAACACAAGTGCCAACTAGAGAAGTGATAGTATCTATAGAACCACGGGTACCAACTTCAGAAATGAAGTCATCGGCGGAGGTACCTCCAGAAATGACATTGGCGAAATCAGCGGAATCAAGTGTGGCAGAATCACAAGTACCTTCAGAAATGGCAGTGGAGGAATCAGCAGAATCAGCAGAATCACAAGCACTAGCTTCAGAAATGGAGGAATCAGAAGAATTAGAAGCATCAACATCTGTGTCGTTATCAAAATCCGTTGTACCAAAACGTAATTTCTCAGATGATGATGACGACGACGATGATAAAGCCAAATTATTAAATTCTACCCAATTGTTATTATTCAAAAAGGGAAAGAAACTTCACGATATTTTGTTAGCAGATTCATCGTTTAATGGCGAACTCATTGCTTCTGAAGAATTAAAAGTATCAGATATATCCAATGACTTAAATGAAATGCTGAAAGATGACCCAGTCAAAATCGTTGATGAGAAATCCGCTAAAGATCGAATCGATCAATGGCGAAGGCAAGAATTACAATGTGAAAATTTTGTTATAGCCGCTGAGTCTTTTAATTTATTACATTTGGTGTCCTTGGTCCAAATTTATGATGATCTATTTAAACTTGGAGAAAAATTAAGAACTGACCCTAATAATAATATAAAAACTACAAAATCTTGGGTTATTCAGTTCATGCGGTCTGTGCTTAAAATTGGCGACAAAATGGAACAAAGGAATAGGGTAGGATGTGATCGATTACGAAGGTTATTTAATGAAGGAATCACGAGTACGCAACTTGCGAAAGCTGGGTGCCGTAAGTGCGATTTTTTCGTTAAACAAGAATATTATGAAGTATTTTTGTCCCAAGTTCCTACATTAGAAACTCGTCGATCAATTTCAAGTTTGTCGAACGAACGTCTTTCTGAAATCTTGTCTACTGCTAATCCAGATAGTACTGCACAAAAAAAAAAGAGAAGAGTTGAATTTATGGGGGAGGAATTCATTAATATAGCGGATAAATAAAAAAAATAGTGAATACATTGAATATGTTGGTTAGTGGGTAATATCATTATCAACAAAGAAGCATGTATTTTATATTGGCATAAGTTATACGCGTTAGATAGATAATTAAATGTATAGATAATTAAACGTAACATTTACATATTTTCAAATTGCACGGGGAAGCTTCTGTCCAAAGTTTCTAAAGCAAAAAAAAGTAAAGTTTTCTGATTATAAAGTGGACAATTTTGTCCAAAATAAAAAATAAAGTTTTCTGAATACAAAAGTGGACAATTTTGTCCAAAATAAATAATAAAGTTTTCTGAATACAAAAGTGGACAATTTTGTCCAAAATAAAAAGGGAGGACAAAATTGTTGATATGCATTATAAAATACTATCAAATTTATTAGATATTAAATGTTCACAATAAGTACAAATATGAATATTATATAGGCAAAATAAAAGTCAAAAAAAGAATTAGTTTAATTGTTCCGGATCCCATTCCTCTTCGCCATCACTATCATATCTTCGAGTAATAGTTGGAAGTATAGAATTATCAATAAAGACCCATGGTCCTAGATCTACCGTGCTTTCAATATCTAATGTTTCATCATTCATATTTGTTTCATCAGATTGATGTTCATTAAAACTATCATCATCATTCTCACTCATAATTTCTTCTTCTTCTTCAAATACTGTATTCAGCATGAGTTGAATATCATCATCTAACTTTGAACTGCTATCACCGTTACTTGTATAATTTAAGTCTTTTTTAGCATGTTTGAGAGAATAAAGATATATTTTCGCCATTGTCTCTATAGTTTCTGGTTGCAAATTTATACGTCTCTTACCAAAGAGCCATCCCATGGCTGAAAATAATCTTTCACAACTTGCCGAGTGTGGGGTTATTGAAAATATTACTTTAGCTAGCCGCGAAAGAGAAGAAAATTTCCCATCAACTATGGAATTCCACCAATGGTAAGCTGTGTCATGAACTGAATAAGACGTGTTATATGGTTCAGAATTATCAAAGTATGCACGAAGTTGTGCATCAAGTTCTAATCCAGAATTTTTTTTATGCCCAAGGTTTTTCCAGATTCGAAGGGCACACTTTCTAAGACGCTCAAATTGATTATCACGCATTCCATGTCCTAACAAATTTGCAAATTTATATTATTAAATGAATTTAAATAACAATAAAAAAAATAATTACCTCGGTATTTAGGATGAAGGAAGAAACCTAACAAATAGATATCCTCGTCAAACTCTTTATATCTATTAAAAAAATATTTAAAATTAAACATTAATTTTGAATCTTCTATTAAAGATACTAACCTAATACATTACCGCTTATTAAAAATGCTAATACAAGAGTTTCTTAACTCTTTATAATCATCAGTTGGCATTGACTTAAAAAATGCTGCGATACGAAGAAGATGCAGATAACAATCTGCTAAAGTTACATTACTTCCTTCTAACATGAGAATTGCTTTTTTTATCGGCTCCAAAATATCCGATAAAATACGAATGTCATCAAAAAACCCTCTTTTTTTCAAAATTGCTTTTACAGCTTCATTAGAGATTTCGCGTTCATGATTGTCCAGGACCTAATTGAATAAACATTTTTGTATTAGGTTTAATTATTATTAATTTAAATATAAAGTATACGTACATGTAATAAAGCATCTTTTAATCTGTACACCGAAGATGTACATTCATGGACTGTCGTCCATCTTGTTTCGATGTACGTTTTCAGCCCTCCACCTGCAATATTTTTTGCATCAATCGCTTCTTTAAGCCAAGTGCTGGCAAGGGTTGAATTTTTGAAGTATCTTGTTAAAATATTTGCTCGTTTTACAAGACATTTAACTTGATCTACTTTGACAATATCACTACTTATCAGATTGATGCAATGGGCGATGCATCGTATATTGATAATGGATGGATATTCATTCGTGATTATTCGACGGGCACCTGCGACATTGGCAGCATTGTCACTGACAATAGCGACAATTTTGCTTATACCCACTTTACAAATTATATCATTTATAACTTTTGATAAATATTCAGCGGTATGTGAATTTTTAGAAAGGTCTTCAAGTTGTAATAGATATTACTTTCTCGATGGTGTCAGCAAAATAAACGCCCATAAGCTATTCCCTCGAGGGTCTGTCCAACCATCAAGAGCTAATAAAAAATATATGGATAGTTATTTTTTTAATAAAATATTTTGAAGCAATTATAGAAATTATAGATTTACCGATAGTAAAATTAGACTCTTTTTCTAATTCATTGTTGACTCGTGCATTGACTCTGGATAATTCCGCCTCCAATAAAGTACCGTTTAGTACTCGTCGCGAAGGTGGATCGTATCCTGGCTCCAGCGCCTTTATCATGTCGATAAACCAAGGATTATCGATTGTGCTAAAGGGTATGTTGCACATCACGTAGGCTTTCGTTATCACCCGGTCTAATTCATCACTCCGTCCTTTTTCTATTTTACCTCCTCCGTAAAAATTCTTAATTCCCGTTTGTCGAACCCTTTTGTTAGAATAATCTGATTCATCTTCATCTGCGCTTTCTTTTTCTTCTTTAGCAAGATTTTTCCTGACAATTTTGGCAAAATACAATGAAACATCATCGGGGCATTTTTTACAGTGGTTTGCCAAATGTGCACTGAGGACTTGGGGCCTTCCTTGTCTCCAGTATTGTCGACAGTAACTACACGTCGCTGAATAGTGTCCTCTCGACTGCACGTTACCTTGTATCATATGATTACACCATACATCTGATAGTGGTCGACTTTTGCTTACCTTAGAAGGACCGCTTGACATGACGTTATAAAGAGCAAAACTTGAAATTAAAAGAGTTTGTCATCAATATCGTTTTAAAGTTTGATTTAGTAGTACAAGATGTTGATTGATTAAGATCACGCCTAATTGTAAATTGTGAAGTTTAAATTTCAATAATATGAAAATTTGTAAATTTAACTGGACAAAGAGAAAAATTGAACAAAATTGTCCAGAAACAATACGAGGAATAAGGTGACCAGAAATGATACAAGAAAAAAAAGTGGACAAAATTGTCCAGAAGCGATGGATGTCCAAAAATGATAGAAAAAAAAGTGGACAAAATTGTCCAGAAGCGATGGATGTCCAAAAATGATAGAAAAAAAGTGGACAAAAATTGTCCAGAAATATTACGAGTAAAAAGTGTATAAAATTGAATCAAAGAAGTCTTGGTATAGCATGATATCATCATCAGACGAAGTTGATTGTGATGAATAAATAGTATGTTTAATTCAGTATAATAACTTTGACAAAAAAAAAATTATAAAAATAACACTTCTAATTTAAACAATTTTTAATATGTCGGGATGACGAATTCTTTATTTTGAATTGATGGTTTTTTACTTGATATTATTTTATTTAACATTGCGGATTTGCGATACAGTATTGATTTACGGATTCATTGCAGATTTGCGATACAGTATTGATTTGTGGATTCATTGCGAACTTGCGGATTCATTGCGGATTTGTGATACAGTATTGATTTGCGGATTCATTACAGACTTGCGGATTCATTGCGGATTTGTGATACAGTATTGATTTGCGGATTCATTGTGGACTTGCAGATTCATTGCGGATATGCGGATTCATTGCGGATATGCGGACTCATATGCGCAATTCAATTCTTAAATCCGCAATACTGCAGATTTGGAAAAGCAATTTCGGCGCCATCCTTAGCTTCAGTATTTTCGCAAGATGTTGTTCTGATTTCACAGGATGACAAAGCCAAGGTAGAGAAGTTTTTTATGCTATTTTTGGTTTTTTTTTAATAATTTTAGGTGATCATTAGGTTCCACTAGGGATCGCAGCAGTTGGAAAATCATTTAAAACTTTACAGACAGTAAACGAACCTGTATCCGTTCCTGACCATGATTTTCCAAAGGGTACTAAGCATAAACTAATTCCATCCGTTTATTTGGTGATTAATCCTAGTAACACCAATGATTCCTTACACTCTGGTAAAATGAGAATATTTGTTCGCCCTGAATACTTTTTGGGAACCTCATGTGAAACACATATGGTTGACCTTGTAAAAATCACTGAAAAGGAGTCTTTCCATGAATTTACGCATCATGATGGTATTGTTAAACCTATTTGGTGTTTATTAACGGATGGTGGACCTGATAAGAATCCTCAGTTTCTGGCCAATATTATGAAATATGCACTATTGTTTAAAAAACTTGATTTGGATTATCTTACAGTGTGAACACATGCACCGGAACAGTCAGCATATAACTTAGTAGAACGAAGCATGGCATAACTTTCTGGAAAGTTGGCAGGAATTGTGTTTAATACTTTTAATTATGGAAATCACCTTGGTAACATGAATGGGCAAAGTACTATAATTGATGAAGAACTTGCTCATAAAAACTTCAAGCATGCCGGAGACCATCTTTGTGAAATTTGAAATCGTGATCTTATCAATGGGCATCCAGTTGATGTTACTTATATTGATGGACATGATCATAATATTTTTTTAGATACTGAAGTGATGTGGGATTGGATTGATCGTCATTCACAAATTTGCAAATATTCACTTGATTTACGCAAATGCAATAACAGGGATTGCTGTAGACCACCAAGAGCTCCGGATGTTTTTGACTTTTTATCGCTGAATAGTGGTTTTCTTCCTCCTGTTGTGCAAGGTAAAGATAAACACTTTCTAAGTTTGCTGCATACACTGGAATATGTTAATGATCGACTTCCTGGCTATGATATGCATTGCCCAAGCATTTCTTCTGAAATTTATGATGAGCTTGTATGCAAAAAATGTGGTAAGTATTTTCCAACAAAGGCGTTTTTAAAAATACATACTAAGGTTATGCATCAAAATGGAAGAGAAAAGATTGTGCGAATGGTGCAGGAAAAAGAAAATAATACAATCCCGAAGGTTCATGCAGGTGAAATGTCACATACTCAGCATAAATATGCTAATGTTGAGGCTAATGGCAATG